ATCATGTTAGTACGGCTTAATGAAACGATAGATTCATAAAAATACATTATTCTACTAAAAAAAAACCATCCATAATTTTTTTTCCGTTCCATCATCAAAGGTGTCATTAGTACTATCGTCTGTCTTCGTTATGCCAGGGGCAGAGCCAAGCCGCTGCCTACCGCTTAAAAGTCTCCACGAGCCTCGTTTGAAGAAGGACATGTCATAGCGCTCGGGAAACATTGTGGAGGGGAGCTCATTCCATAGCCGAATGCTACGTGGCAAAAAGATCTCTGGAAACGCACTGTGGATGACCGCAGTGGCTCCAGGTAGTATGGATGAACTCTACTCCGGTGGCGGGCGGTGCGATGGTAAAAACGAGATGCCGGTATCATCTCGAACAATTCCTCAGAGCACTCCCCATGGAACATACGATACAAAATACAGAGGGAACCGAAGTCCCTCCGCAGACCCAGAGGTTCGTTTTTTGGAAGCGGTCTCCTAACACCCAGTATATTGAGAGCAAGCTGTATTTACGTCTGTAACCACGAAACTTATAAAGTATTCGATACATAATAATAATCTAACGACAATATAAACATCAGATTAGACTGTTAAATTAGTTTTAATCACATCTACGAATCGTGAAAACCGAAGAAAATACTACCTATATGTCGTGGATAGCGGCTTAGTAATATTAAGATATTGTTTTGAGTATTATTTTAAGTGATGAAATGTTGTTTTGATAAATATCACAAAAATGTAGCGTAGACGCCGTAATGTCGGAGTATAAAATGGCGGTAAGTGGACAGAGTCGCCCTCACCCCCGGTTTGAGCCCCGTGAGCTCACCTACTAGCTCGGTGAATCTAGAATAACCACAGACACAGCCCACTAAGTTTCTCGCCGGATCTTCTCAGTGGGCCGCATTTCCGACCCGCTGGTAGATTCTGCGAAGCACGGTTCTTTCTAGGGTTCGTGTTAGCAACGTCATCAGGTTTGAGCCCCGTGAGCTCACCTACTAGTTAAGGTTACGCTGAAATAGTCTCATCAGTTTAGGTATGATAAAAAAAAGATAACTTCAATAATTATTATTTAGTAGGTTTTATTGACTTTTATTGCAATAAACTCAGTTCCACCGATTACGAATGATGACGGAACTGCTGCCGCTCAGCCATCCTTAGCACCGTCATATTTCTTAGATGTTCATTGCCGCGCGGACCTCAAGTCATTAAGCGACGAACATTAAGTGGTCGGGGCCTAAAGGATAAGATGTCCGGTGCATTTGTATCTAGCGATGCACCGATGTTCGAATCCCGCAGGTGGGTACCTATTTTTCTAATAAAATACGTACTTCAGATATATTCACTATTGACTTAAGCTCGTCCAAACATCTGAGCTATAAAAAAAAACAATACGGAAAAAACAATATATAAATAAACATTGCTGAGCAGATTGGTAACGTTCCTCCATCATTATTTTAAAGCAATTTAACCATGGAGCACTTCACACTGTAGCCGGCAGTGTGTTCCAAAATCGAATCGCCTGGATGATGAATTAATGGCCAAAGAATGATGATGAATGCCCAGGTATTTTCAGTCTCAAGGTATCCGATAATCTCAAGGGAAAATTATGCGTATCACATAGTGACGGAAACTGGGACGACGGCGAAAGCAACCCTCAATGGGTTGAGCAATGAAACGTATCGGTCGATCACCCCAATTTTAAAATCGCTCAAGGCTTCTTCTTTATCACGCTCTTTGAATATTTATAAGAGACCCGCTCCTCATTTTACATAATATGCCGATAAATATACTATTATCTATAGAATTATATTATATTCGGTTGAAGAAGCAAAATTGTATAGTTTTTGTGTAAGTACCTACATAACTTATGAAATCGTATTATCATCCGTTACTAAGAACAAAAAGATATAGCTTAAGACACGCAACGTACTAAAATATACTTAAAATAACTGACACAAGCAATTTGCTATAATATGGATGTATCCAATATTTTTATACGTACGTAAGAACAAGTACAATCCAAAGGTAGCACTTTTGTGTTGGTATTGAAAGTCATATAACATGGACAACTAAAAGTCATATAACGAGGAGAACTAAAGTGGCGGATAAAGGCGATTGCATGCAGTATAGATGCGAATGTTGCGATGGATGTGTGTAGTAACGAAAATGGATAGAATACGGAATTAATATGTTAGAGGAAGTCTGAAAGTGGCACCTGTGACAGAGAAGCTGAGAAGTGCGCGTTTGGAATGGTATGGACATGTGATGAGACGAAATGAAAATGAAGTTGGTCAGAGAATGTTAACTATGAATGTGGAAGGATATAGAGGAAGAGGTAGACCTAAGAAGAATGGATGGATTGCGTGAAAGACGATATGGGTAAAAGGGGAGTGAGCGAAGAAATGGTATATGATAGAAGAGTATGGAAGGATGGTAAACATGTTGCGCCGACCCCAGGTGACTGGGAGAAGGGCAAGATAATGATGATGATGATGATCGATAGTCATATAACATTTCGTCTTCTTTTTCTTCCTAGCGTTTTCCTGGTCTAGTGGGTCCGCTTTCTTACTGAAACTCTTTCACTTTGGCTGGTATTCGGCATCCTTCTGGGTCAGGTTATTCTCCTCCATATCCGCCTTTACCACATCCAACCAGCTTTTCATATTGTCATATAACATTTACATTCACGAAATGTGTATATTATGTAATTATCAGTAAGTACGGCAGTAAAATATTGCTATCTCTTTCGCACCATCGAATTTTAAGCAGCGATGACGTCATAAGTCGCAATGGAATAATTATCTCCTTCACCGTATTTAAATTTAGAATTTCGTGTTTCGATAAAGTCTTAGAGATCAGTAGAATATTCAGTTTATTTTAAATCCCATAAATGCTTATATAGAAGAAGAAAAAATTCTTAACATTTTAACAATAGAATTACAAAGTAACAAATGTGTAGATAGCACGCAACGCTATTTTGTTTCACCAATTATGGATACATAATGGCTACATACAAAGTTAGCGCTATCTTCGATGATGATGATAAAAAGCGCTTTTTTAAAACACTGACGCTTCGTTTAATTAAACGCATACGACTCATGACCACGGCAATATTTTTTAAATCTTTTGCATAATTTACATTTTTTGAGGAAGTATTTGGACCGTTTCTGCCAAATTCATTGCAGTAAATTTATCGAGGCGTGAATGAAGGCTATTTGGTTAAAGCGGTATTTTTGCAACAGGAGGTACATTTAAAGTTTCAAATGTAGAAAAAAAGTCGGTTTACTGACGATAGTTGAACGTGACAACATCGTAAGAAAATACGGATGGAATGGTTTCATTTTTCAATTTTCGCAATTATCGTTGCTATAAACAATTGACGCCACATTCACTTTTCATTGAACTTCATACTTGACGAAAACATGTATATGTATTATTGTATAGCACCTGTCCACGCGGATGCATCGCTCACTCAAGTAGGAGAGAGACAGATGTCGAACGCTGCCGAACGCGGAGGCCGATTGTGCCTCTTTGTCGCTAGTTGCGCGCTCTCGCTTGCACTTCAAGCCTTAAATGGAACGCCTCAGAGCGAGGTAACGCCGCATGAGTCATGTTTTTTCGTGCGTGCAGCCGGCTTCATCGAATTATAAGACGTTGTCACGTCAATATCATGACAAAAAAAACATCTTCAGCTATTTATTTCAATGGGGTAAACATAAGTGAAGTTGAATTAAAAACATGGAATTTGTTGATGTTAATGCCAAATAAAAGGGGCCATTAATAACAATGATAAATGTCGCGTATTAAGCGAAATGTCTCCTAAGCTAAATAGCTTTTCACCCCTTGATATAATTATTATTAAAACTTACGAAGACTCAGTCTTTATTATTAAATCGTTAGTAATGTTACCATTCCTACTTGAAAGACGGGCGTAAGTTTGGAAACGGAAAAGTTACCTCTGAGATACGTAACGTTTGTGACAAGGTAAATAATTTAGCTTCGCAAACGAACAAGCAAACAGTGGCCTTGGGCGAATATACGGAATCCCCGTTGTCAGAACCTTTGATATGTATCACATTTTCCATGTAAATACGTCGCTAACACGTGTTTCAAGAACACGGCTTCCACAGAATGAAACCCCCAAAACTATACATTTGCGAGTGTGAACTTTGGTTCCAACAGCCAGGAAACAAATACACACATTGCATAGTTCCCTTGATGCTATATTGCTTTATTTGTAACTCCACTTGTACAACTTTTAGGTACATATGTCCCCCACTAAAGAATACACCGCTTTTTTTTGTTTTTTTCGACTACCGCCTTTTTTTAATATGCCTCGTCCCCACTAGTGACATCGCTCCCACCAACAGTGTTGCCATATCGCAATCCGAAAATTGTCTTACCATGATAAATTTTATATTACAATTTACAACAAACCTTACACGAGATTACTGATGCCTAGTGAGTGGTATTGCTGCCGAAAAGCATTCAAGTTAAAAACAAAAAATTGTGACCGCCATTTTACTATACAATCGAAGAATAGATCTGAATGGCAGAACAGAATATTTCGATTAAATCCTACCATATACGTATTCCAAATTTTTTTGCAATTTTTTTTTATGAGAACTAATTTTTATAGCATTTTATTTCAGAGATTGAGTCTAGCATGCTCGATTGCGCGTAAATATTACGAATAATTTAAATCGATTTATCGAACGACAATCAGTAATTAAATTAAATATCGATGTACGTCATCAGCAACTTTGTATAACACTTGTGAACTGCAAACGGTTCAACGAGGCGTTGACCTAGTATTCAGTTAAGTGACTAACCATTAACTGCGAAGAAGACGGTTCAAAATTATAATATAATATTTGTAATACTTTAATAAATAATCGATAAAACCGATTTAATGAATAATACAAATATTTTTTACCTTCATTTTTATTAGATAAAATTATTGTTTTTAGAACACCTTTAGATGATTTTAAACTTACATTTTAATGAAGAGCCTGGCCTCGTTGTTCTGAACTCTGGCGTCGCTGACACGAGATCAAAACTAAAAATCACTGAAGTTTTTCACTCACTTCTCACACATCGAATTTAAATTCACCACTCGACATCGTAACGTGACACACTCGCGATCGCGAAATCATACGACACTAACTCCACGTCCTCGCTCTACGGCAGATGCCGGGATACTGAATGAAATGAAACCAGATTCCATCGACAACGCTACGAGAACAAATTTTCATTTTCTTTCCCTCATTTCCAAGAAACGTTGCTCCTGAGATCCTGAACGGATCGGTAGGCGAGAATTTTTTAAGGATTATACACAGACACAAGGATTCGTATGATATTTAACAAGAACTTAACCTTTTTGAATAATTAAATTTTTAATAGAGTATGCCTACATAAAAAAGGCTTCACTGATGTGCTACAGAATTGTCTATTCGTAATTAAATGCAAAAGTCAGCCATATTAAATTGTTTTTAATAATCATCGAGTTTTCTCGTGCGGAGGCAATCTTATGATTTGTTTGTTCTTTTATCGATTTCATTCGAATCTGGATTAAGCCTTCCCGTTTCCTTTCAATCTTTTCTTCTCGTGAAAAGTGACATTTTTTATCTACGCAGGGCTGTCCAATCCATTAATCTGATGTTGGATAATAGATGATTTCGGCTAAGGCTCTCAGGTCACTATTGTAGGTCGTTTGGATAAAAACATTTAAAATTAGCTTACCGATGAAGCGGTTTTGAATATTTGTAGCAATGTATATTTAATTTTGACTTCGCCTCTTTAACAATAATGACTTAAGCCCGTAATGGACTATTTATAATTACTAGAGGTACCGCCGTAGTCGAAATTCGACTATAATTAATTGGAATTGTAAGTTTGTACACTATTATGATTGTTTTTTATACTTCCATAATCACAAATTTGGCCAAGGCTACTCTATAAAAGTATATTAATAAAGACAAACAATATTTAATTTTAATCTATTCTCAATTTGACCACAGACATCAAGAACAAAAGTTTGACAATAAATAGTTTGCATGCGTGTGTGCGTCAAATACATGGAATGTAGTGTGTGTAATGTTTTCTTTATTGTTTTAATGTATCTTTTATACATTATTTTAAAAAAATATTAGCATTGTGCACTTCTTCTCTATATTCTCTATAAGTGTAGAAAATTTCATACTCCTCCGTTCGCGCAATTTTCGTAAAAAGGGATACAAAGCTTTTGCTTCACGTATTATTAATATAAAGATGACTTAGTCGTACAAGAGAGATGTGTTGGTGTTCTGTTAATGAGAAGTTTAGTTATTTATGTTTCTGATATTCAGAACAAAGAAGAAAACCATGTGTGCAGTACAATGTACAAAAAAATTCATAAATTAAAAAAAATATTGACAGACAGACAGACAGATAATAAAGAAGCATTACTTTTTCCCATTACATAATTACTAAATCAAAAGTTACGTCATAGGTATATTTATAAAGCAATTTTGGTGAACAATAGACGCGTAGAACAATTGAATGTGATTCGCCGATTTCTTGCTCTCAGTAAGGTCAGTAATGAACTATGAATCGCAAAAAACAATAAGGTACAAAAAACGACATTTTTAAATAGCTAAGTAAATAATTATTAAATAAAAGACGGTTTAAAACTTCAAAAAACCGGCTTCTTTCGTAGTGTAGTGGTTTCGACGCGGACTGCTGTATCTATTATTTAGAAAAATAATTTAAAAAATATTTATAGAATACAAGAGAACAGAACGATGCAAAAAAATGTGTGACAGATAAATAAATTATAATAAACTACTTATAAATACACATGAAAGTTAAAATGTAACATTATCTACTAAAATGCACAAAATGAGATGTATACATAACAGTAAAATTATTAGTAAATATAAGAAAGGTAAATAGAAAAAATCCCCTTTCACAGCAGAAATCCTTCCCACCTGTGTAGTAAATACTACTTGTATAGTTTAAGACTGATGAAACTTCACAATTAATGGCTTATTATAAATTAAATTATCGCATACAAAACGGTACGAACAAGGTGGCGCGCGAATAGTTTCAAGAAATTTATATTTTTCACACAATTAGTAATTGTATGATGATTAGCAGGGGGGGCTGCCAAGGGCTGGATGAGAGAGGCCGAGGATCGAGCTCGGAGGCGGGCAATTGGAGAGGTTTATGCTCAGCAGTAACGTGCTATAAGCTGAACATCGGGGCGTCGAATATCTGTCGCATGTAGTTGTTGATTCATTTACTGATCAGGACAGGAAAAGTATAGACTGCCGTGTTGACTTCTCACTATATTAATTAAATATGCAATTTCGAAAAGGGCACATGACGCATATTTTGTCAAATACGTTTTTTCATATACATGTAGTTTTGAGGCTTACCTACACCCATTTTATAATAATTCCAGTAATTTTCAATTGCTAATTAACACTAAAATATATCTCAAAAGTTAATATTTTAAATTTTACACTGCTTTAGAAAATAATCAGTTTTTTTTCATTTCCTGAACATTTTACATTTTCAGAGATGTGCTCTTTTCGAAATTGCATATTCATTGTACAGACGCTAAAATTACTTAAACAATCAAGGATTACAATAATAATTCGTGATTTAAAGCCAATGGGTTTGTGTATTATTTCCGCGTGCGACGCTGTCAACAAGAGAATAGAATGACTTGACGTTCACCTCCCATGACAAACCGTCTTCTCGCAATAAAATAGTATAATCTCAAAATTTACTAATTTTACAGGAGAGTGTTTTAAAGGTGTTAAACCTTGATGTGATATTTTTAATATTAATCATCTTTGCAACACTTTTTTTTATTTTTTACAATTATCTGTCTTTTAAAGTAGGATTATATTATGTATTAATTTTGTTAATAGTAGTCAAAACAGGTAAACTAAAAATAAACTATGCTCTTTTGACAGTAATTATTAGAATAATACTGATGATACCAAATGATTCCACATACGAACTCAATTTCGAATATTTTTTGGAAATTGTACACTTTTAATGCGAAAAGACGAAACTCAACTCCATCCGGTGTTACCCGCTCTTGATTAATATTACCATTTAGTCAAATTTAAAACGATTAATCGTAATCAAGATAACAGAATAATTTACGAAAATTTTCATATAGAAAATAACTATAACTCACAAAATGAACTGATTTTCATTATCTAAAAATGTCACGCTCCGTTTTGTATAGAATAATTTAAAGTTAGCCAGTAACTCGATTATCAACCTACGCTTTTTGGTGAGTGGTAAAACCAGCGACTAACATGATGATACTAAAAATTATATATGAAAATTGAGATTTTGCGAATGCATTTGATAAGTGTATGTTTGTCTCTAATTATGTCGTTTTTTCTTTTTATCGAGTTTCAAATTAATCAAATATAAAACAAGACTTAAAAAATGTACTTCCTTTTTTAAAAGTTTTTCATCGGTTTGTTCATTCATCATTATTATTTTTTATCGATGCATTATTTAAAGATATGTATATATTAATACGTGAAGCAAAAACTTTGTATCCCTTTTTACGAAAATTGCGCGGACGGAGGAGTATGAAATTTTCCACACTTATAGAGGATATAAAGAAGAAGTGCACAATGCTAATTTTTTTTTTAAATAATGCATAAAAGATAGATTAAATCAATAAAGAAAACATTACACACACTACATACCGTGTATTTGACGCACACACGCATGAATTCTATTTAATGTCAAACTTTTGTTCTTGACGTCTGTTGTCAAATTGAGAATAGATTAAATATTGTTTGTCTTTGTTAATATTTTTTATAGTGTAGTCTTGGCGAAATTTGTGATTATAGAAATATCAAATACAATCATAATAGTGTACAAACTTACAATTCCAATTAATTATAGTTGAATTTCGACTACTGCGGGACCTCTAGTATAGTAAAATACATGTAACCTCTATACGATTTATCTTAAAAGCGGTTAATATGTTGTAAAGATGACATAAATGGAAGTTTGAATATTGAAACATCAGAAGAAGGATCATTAGAAATATAAAAGCAATTTGAAATTTTGAAATATAAAAAACATACAAAAGTGGTGAAGCAATAGCTTTAAATGTTGTTTCTCTTTATAGAGCAACTCAATTTGTCCTATAGTTTTACTAAGCTAACACGGTATTTTGATGTAAATAAAATAATAGATTATATACTTATATTCAAATGTAATTTACGCGGCCGTATCGAAAGCACCGTATCCTAGAAATTGTTCTTCGAAGATAAACAAGTAGTTTGTCATTATCATATTATAACACAGAGCCTCTATTAAAGCAAAATCAAAGTTTACGTCTTCTACAAGGCTCTCCGACTATTGCGATTTAATGTTTCCTTAATGTTAGCATAATATTGTGTTACATTAAATTATAATATCGAAGCACGATTTTCTTAATACAAACAGCCCACACATTACCCACGCAATTAGATACGTCTATAGTACATTGTGCACCAAGGGAGAAAAGTATGAGATGTCCTGCTTTTTTCCCTTGGTGCACATACTATTTTTTCTCCTACCAGGCCGAAAGTTCGTGGAGTACTGAGCCGGGGTCCAGGGGCGAAGCCCTGGCGGGGGCATGGGGGAGCGGCGCCCCCCTTACTCATAAAAAAACAATTTAACTGTTTTTTTAATTTTTAAATAAACTACTAATTTCAATAAACTTAAATAAGGACTGTCTGATGAACTCATCTTTGTTTAATACTTCATTATTAAATTTTATTGCCTATTGTTTATTTCACTTTGGCGGAGAATTTTAGGTGCGTGAGAGCAGACGTAGACACTAACGCGCATGCGCACAGGCAGGAAAAGTTACACTTTCTTCCCTGTACAGCGGGAGGAAAAGTTAGACTTTCTTCCCTGTACAGTGGGAGGAAAACCGAACTTTCGGCGTAGGTAGGAGAAAAAAGCCATTGTCATACAGTGTGCTTAGTGCGAGTTTTTTAATGTTCTTGATAGCGTAAAAGTTAACTCAAATTAGGGGCTACAGGGCAACCGCTTGGAGCGCTGTTCCAAACTGCAAAAAGTTTTGAGTTAACTTTTACGCTATCGAGAACGTTAAAAAACTCGCACTAAGCACACTGAATCGTGTAAGTGAATATTAGCTTTAATTGA